AATGGGCCTATTTTAAGAGGCCTTTCAGAATCAACCACTATAGTTGTGATTTCTTTTTTGCTTTATTTTGGCCCAAAGTCTTCTAGTGCCTTCCAATGCCTAACTCTTCCGTGGCTGTGATTTACACACTTGAAGTAGCATAGACTTTTTCAGGCCAAAGATCTGTGTTTAGTAAGCTGTCCTTCCAGTTCTAGAAACAAGGATTTCCCAAGCTCTTACTCACTCGAAAGCTGTCCTGTGCACACATGGGAAACCTGTCACCTGTGATTGGTCACGTCCTCACAGTCTCCTCTGCTTCCCTCCTCTTGGCTCATGATCTAAATCCCATCCCCTCTTTCTCTACCATGAAATATACCAAGGTAGTAGTGAGCCCTCACTGCTTCTGTTTCAAGGACTAGGAAGGACCTAGTCCTTCCTCCACCAGCTGTACTTTGGTTTCCATTAGCCTCCACTCAAAGGTCATGGTACTCAAAATGTGGTCCTGGACCTGTCACAATAGCAATAGCATCAGCATCACTTGGGATCTTGTGATGCCAGTTACGGACTTCCACTTCAGACCTGTTGAATCAGAAACCCAGTGATCTGTGTTTTCAAAAGACCTCCAGATGATCCTGATGTGTGTTTGAGAACCACCACTTTACAGAGACTATCCCAAATCAATTAACATTTCTCATCGTTCATCAGAAGCGGAGGAATGCCCCTCCTCACAGAAACTCACTCCTGGTGCCTCTGACACTGCCCTTCCTTAGTTCCCCTTCTCAAATTGTTCCTTTTCACCTCCCTCTCATCTCGTCTGGTCCCCTGAATGCAGATTTTTCAAGGAATTGCCACTGGCTCTCTTTCCTTCACTCTTTACATCCCTTCCTGGAAAATTCCATACACTTCCCTGGAAAAGGTCATGGCTTCTTTGCCATTGACTCAAACCAGATTTTCTAGCTTTACCTCTCATTTCAACTGTTTTGCCATCGGTTCCAAATTTCCAAAGGACTCCAGGACACCAACACCTCAAGAACTTACTGTGAAGTATAACACAGAATTATTAAAAAGAAAACCATCACCTTCCTCACCACACATGTGTCTCTTCTGGATTTCTAGTCTTCTTTTACCTCCAACAATGTTTTCCTAATCTCTTAGGTGTGGAAACCTCCTTCTCCCGAAGTCTCAATTTCCAAATAGCTGCTAAGCATTAAGCCCTCTTGCCTATAATTCCACCATCTTTCTCACATACTTTGCCTTTTTGCTCAGTAGCTTACATTTTGTTTATTCAGAGGGCAGAATTATGATCAGAGTGAGAACTAAAGAGAGAGAGATGATGGCTCATTTAAAGAAAGAACTTTCTAACAGAGTTGCCCACAGATGGGCTAGGAAGTTCCCTTTCTCCAAGTATGTTTGGACATGGGCCGGCTGACCATATAGCAGAGGTTTAAGTACCTGATGAGTGAACCGACTTGATGACATTTTGGATATTCCATCCAGCCTGAGATTCTATGGTTCCTTTAGTCACCATTTCTTTTTTCAAGTCCTCATTACCTATTCCTCCCCCATCATCTGAGCAATATGCCAGTCCCTGGTCTGTGTCTGATGCTTTTTCTATGCTTCTTTTCTTTGAGGCCTCCTTTCTCCCTGCTCCAATCCTCACACACGTGTATGGAGACTCATCCATTCACTCACTCCACCTACTCTGTGCTAGGTGCTGGAAATATTGAATTGGGCGAGCAATCCTTGCCTTCAAATTCTGTCCAGGTGGGGAAATGGACACCTACATCATATATTACACTACAGAGTGATGGGGCCACAGGGTGCCAAAGGGAGAACAGAAAAGAGGCCTCATCTAACTTGATCAAAAGGCCCAACCACGTGGACTGAGTTTAAACTGAGTAGGTATTACATTGGTGAACAAGATGGGAAAGAACCTTCTGGAAGGTGCAAAGGTGCATAAACTGAAGTAAGGATAATGTGTTTGGAAACCATGAGTAGTTCATTATGGGTGGAGCAAAGAGTTGGGAGGGGAGAGATGGGGGAAGACAGTTTATAAAGGGTTGGGTTTAAGCTAAGGCTTTTGACTTTACTTTGGTCACTCTAGGGTAGCCACCATTTGACATCATCAGGTTTAGTACTTAGGAAGATGACTTGAAGGGAGTTTGGAAGGGGGTCAGAACAGAGGCAGGCAGATAAACTGATGCAAAACAGGTAAGAGATGATGAGAGCTCAGCCAAGGCAATGGCGGTGGGGATGAGGAGGAATGAATGGGTTCTAGAAATATTCACCTGCATCTTCAGAGTTTGAGAGATTGATTAGATGAGGAGGTGAAACATCCAGAATGACCCTTAGGTTTTAAATTAGATGATGGTGTGAGTGGTGGAGCCAAGACCTGTATATGGAATATGAATGGAGAAAATGACCACTTGGCAAGTAAAATCACAACAGAGTTAGTGAACGAGTCACCAGAGGAGAGAAGAAAGGAGAGACTAGAGGAGATGGATAACAAGTTTAGAAGCTGAAAGGAAATAGGAGGATGCAAAGACGTAAGGTTATTCTTATAAATATTACATAAATAATCACTAATAGATACCATTTATGAACATAATGACATACTAGGCAATAAAATTCACATCAACCCCACAGAGTAAAGATTAGTATGTTCATTTCATAAGTGTGGAAAAGTCAGGCTCAGAGATGTGAAGTAACTTGCCCAAGTCACCCAGTGCCAACGTAGGTTTCACGATCTCAAAGGATATGCTACACATGTTGACTTTACTGAATGATGGCTGCTTGGCAAACTGGTCAAGAGTAAGACTTCTCCCCCTCTTCCCCCTTTTTAGAAACTGGAGTATATTTCTTTCAACAGATTGAAAATTATCATGTACAGGTGTGGAATATACTAAAAAGCATATGTGCTTCATAGGGCCCGGTTTTCCAAAGCCTTGCAGTTTCAAATATTGACCTTGTGGAGGACTGGAAATTTCAGGCTATAAAAGTCTCTATTGCAAGACAAGAATTGTGGCACAGCAGGTTGCTGGCTCAAAGACAGACTAGTTACTGATTGTTATGTAAAGATACTGGGAAATTGCTAATAGAAGGAATGTTTGCTAAGATCAAGCTTGTGTTGATAAGACCACTTAATTGTCTACTGGAATGTCATCTGTCTTGTTTCACTGAAAGTTACCAGCCTATACTGTTAAACTATAAGCCCACCTATGTCTCTTCCTGTAACTTCCTGGTCTGGAAAATAAATGCAGGAAGAGAACCCCAATTCGGTGTTAATTTCCCAAGGAAGGGATCCCTCTTGCTTGAGGCTTCGGGTGGGATATTCACCACTTTGGGGCTTCTCACTGCTCAGTAGAGATGGGCTTTGAGTAATCCTTTGCATCTCCATCACCCAGGGGAAGTGGGGTGACAAATCCGTGGGGGGTGAAGCAACACAGAGCAACATACAGACTTGATATTTCCACCGTACCATCAAAGCTCGGAGAACCTTCTCTTTACCTTGTGTTTCCTTCAGGTTTTATTTGATTTTGGTTTTAATTCCTTCCATCTTCAAAAAGGTCGTGGAAAAAATAGAATTGAAAGGTGATACAAATCTTTCCATGAACTTTTTGAAGTACCCTGGTACAGCAAGCAGTCAGTCAAATCTTTAATTTAATGGGAAGATGGATATTGACCTATCATCTTCCCACAGACCAGTGGTTTGGTTTTCGGAACACGGTCCCAGGACCAGCAGCATTAGTCTCAGCTGGGAACCTGTTAGAAATGCAAATTCCTTAGCCCTACTGCAGACCTATTGAATCAGAAACTCTGAGGGTGGAGCCTAAAAATCTGTGTTTCAACAAGCATTCCAGGTGATTCTGATGCTGGCTGAAGTTTGAGAGCTACCAATATAGGATGACGTGTTGCATCAGGCTTTTATAGAAGGTCATTATGTGACAAGAGACTAATCTAAACTGTGGTGAAACCAAATGCCACGTCCACTGCCTAATAAAAGAAGAATTGCTAATAAGACTGCTGCACAGGGAAATTTTGAGAAACCACAACACTTTACAACGTGGATGCCAATTCTCACACCATCCTTTGTTGAGTACACACGAATTGGAGTACACCCATTAAAATATATCACTACTCTTACTTATCATTCCACACAGCATATAATTCAGAATGAAGCTGAATTCTAAATCTCATAGAACTGAATTAACTGAGGATTTTCAGAGAAATTGAATCGTTTCCCAGTTTAACCATCAACTCAGCTTAGAGTGAATAGAAATATAAAATGAATTAAAATTTTGAAATTAGATTCACCAATGGTCACAACAGAATCTAATTAGAAGATATCCTCATTAAGGTGTCCCCCACCTCCCCAGCTTTTCAGAAAGCAACAAGGAAAAACAAGCTTTGGAAGGCTACAAAGCATGGTAAATGCAATCTTCATCCAGTGGGGGTTTTTTTTTTTTTTTTTTTTTTTTTTTTTTTGGTAAAAAAGGGAGTAGGAAGGTCTCTGGAGTGAGCTCATATATCTGCATATTTTATTAATAAAATACTACCAATGTAGGAGGGCCTCACCCTTGCGGGGCCAAGTAGCCATCAACTTTTTGATAGGCTGACAATCTGTACTTCAAGCTTTCAAATTATATATAGTGGAGGAAGGAATTTGTATGGAACTAAATAATACCCAGGCCAAAGATGCTCTGAATGACCAAGATTTTTGTAAGTTATCCAGAGAATGGGCTAAAGAACAACAGTCCCCAACACATCTTCAGGTGAACTGCATCCTCCCAAGTGTGAAGCAGTTATAGGGAAGACTCTGAGAGGGAACCTTTTCATCTTTGCCTTCTTTGTCAGGCTAAGCTAAAACAGCTATTTTTAGAATGTGCATGGAAGGCAGTTTTCCCACGTGGAAGCCAGTTTTCCCAAAGGCCCATCTTCCCCAGCTTGTACCTCCTTGTCATTGTTGGAGTACACAGGCCAACAGACAAACAAACCCCATTGTGACAGAGCATGCTACTAACCTGCTCATGAACTTGTACCGACGGGGCAGGTAATAGATTTTTCTCCTGGAAGAACAGCAAAAATGAAGCCAGTCGAGAAGAAAACCCATCGTCAGTTACAGTTTGAACTAGCAAGGAAGGAAAGGAGATTGAAGATAGAAGCCTGTAAGAGGTGAAGAAGAAAAAACTAAAAAGAGATTAACAGTGAGAAATGTGGTGGGAACACAGGGCATGCATTTTGGAGTCATGGAACCTTATGAAACAGTTTCCTTTGATATTTCTTCCTCTCCTCATTAGCATAATTTTTATGGTTGCTCCTCACCTACAAAACACGTGCAGAGTGATGATCAGGAGGTATTTGCACAGATTCAGCCGAGGTCAGCTTTTTTCCCCAGGGAAATGCAGAGATGGATTATGGGAAATATACATAATTTAATGGGCACACTATCATAACAACTAATGTTTATATAGCACTTTAAGTTTACATAACAGTTCTCTTATGATATAGACAAGAGCAATATAAAAATATATATTTTACAACCAGTACGAGAAGGACACTAACTTATCAGCATCAATACTCAGCTGTAAATAACCACACTGGGGCACACTGCCTAACCACTGGCCCTGGTGATAGGTGAATTCAACAGGTAAAACCAAGGGATCCTGAAAAAAAAAATGTTTAAAACTCGCACTTAAGCATTTTGCCATATTACTGTCTATCTACATTTTTAAAAATATTAAAAATTAAAATTCTGTGTGTAGTCTGAATGAAGAGTACATGTATTAGATGCTTTGCAAAAATGCAATCTCCCTTTCCTTATTTCAGGCTTCAACCATTGGAGAAGTAATGAAACTGATGCCGTGAATGTATATTTTGAACTGTTACTGAACTATCTCACTTTTGGAAAATGGAAAACATATCCATGTTTTTAATAGGCAAAACTATAGAGACAATAGAAAGATCAGCAGTTGCCAGGGGTTTGGGCCAGGGGAAGTAGGGATGAATAGGTGGAGCACAGGAGATTTTTAGGGCAGTGAAACTATTCTGTATGATACTGCCATGGTGGATACATGACATTATGTATTTGTAAAAACCCAGAGAACTATGCAACACAAAGAGTGAACCTTAAGGTAAACTTTGAACTTTAATTAATGATAGTGTATCAATATTGGTACATAAACAAATATGCCACACTAAGGCAAGATGCTAATAAAAAGGAAACTGTGAATTGGGGGAGAAGGGATATACTGGAATGCTCTATCATCTTCTCAATTTTCTGTAAACTTAAAAATGCTCTAAAAAGTAAAGTCTATTAATTTTTTAAAAAACTATATCCATGGACATAAAGGTATATATGAAGCAGGTTTTGTTGACAATTTCTCATAAGAAACTGATTGTTCAATTTCCTTTTAAACATTGTAGGGATAAAATTCTTAGCAGACTAAACTGGGGATTCAGAAATGCGGTCTACAGAAAACAATAAATACATATAAGATTCTTTGGGGGCATTTAAATTCACCCAGATTGATGTTTGTACACTTTGTTGAAATGATATGACAGGAGAATTATTTCTCCTTTGGAAATGCATATATCTCCTTAGGCTAGAGTTATTTGTCTGAGACTGTGGACAAGATAATAGCATGAATTTTAAATGGATCAGGTTCTAGCAAGTAAAACTATGCTTAGGTAAAACCACATCAGTATTAATGAGGCCAATTAGTGTTATACATTAACAGTATCTTCTCCTAAAATTGTTGTCCTGCAGGAATTCCTACATCTAAAAAGATTATTATTCACATTCAATTTTGTTTAATTGCTTGGGTCACATTTTCTTAATGCTATATAAGAAAAGTATTAATGTTGCTTGACGCAGCCCTTTTCTGCTATGTAATGGGCATACAGAAGTATTATCTATGATGTGGCCAGGCCCTTACGATTTGCAATCCTTGCATTATCACTGCTCTATTTTCCGCAATCTCCTTGGGTTCTTTATTACAGAATTGTGTTTGGCAGAAGGTTTAGTGAGGTTTATACCGTGGAGGAGGTATCAATTTCTATCTAGGCATATTTTGTAGTGGTTTCTTTCCCTTTTGGTTCTTAGGTGTAATATGGTATTAATTATATTAGATAGTTGTTACTTAATTGATAAAGAACTGGTTTAGTTAAGTATGATAGTGTAACAATTTTCTATGAAAACTAAATTTATATTCTTTCTCAGTGGATACATGTTTTTTCTTTTCTGTTTTTAAATTCTTGAGTTCTCACATTTCCTTTTTAACATTTTAAATACAAAAATAAATCATAAAATTAGAACTATATTTATTTACTTTGAGAATTTTGCCTCCAGGAAAACAGATGCTAGAAATTTCAGCTTCTATTTTGACTTAGAATTAGGATATAAAGACCAGTAAACAAAGAAAATAAGATGCACCATGGAGATATATTACAGGCCTGTGAATGGAAATTGCCCTTCTCTAAACGTGTCCCTAGCTCCTCTCTCTGTCTCTATGAATGTAGCTGATTCTTTGTCTCCATAAGTTGCCACAGCTCATTAAGAGCTTTAATGGTAGAATGGGTCTCAGTTTGCTCAATTCCTGTTTGTCTGACTTGGTCTTACTGGCAAATTATAAGCCAAAATACTTAATTTTTTAAGTCCCACTGAAATTGTCCTTGGCATTAAATCCTCTCACCTCCTTTAGGAGATTCCATTATGGACCCTCCCACCTATGAGTATCTTGGCATTTATAATTTCAGGTTTAATGCTTTATTTTATTTCTAAGTAGCAAATGAAGATCATTTTTCCTTAATCCATAGGGAAAATAAAAATAATCACTGTGAGACAAAGGTAAATTAATCCTTTTAAATAACTAAGCAATCCACCCAAAGTATTTTCTATTCCCCTTGGAACAAATACCAATAATTGTGTTTGCACAGTATTTACGACTTTTTAATTTTTAAAAAGTAGATCACATTTTCATGAAATTTGTTGAAGTTGTTTCTATGGAGGCAGATTTTAATGTTTTTCTGGAAGGGACTGGTCAGAAAGGAGCATAAATATATTCTATGCCACTAATGCCTGGGGTCTGGCTATTCAAAGCAGCAGTACAGAGGACTTCTAAAAATGGCACTTTGGAAATGAAAATACCACTTGCAAAATGCTTCTTTATCACAGGCATTTGAAATTTCTACACACTAAGGACTGAACTAGCCAGAAATTTTCATAAAGTCATGAAATCTTTATTGGCCATGAAGACTTACTTGCATTTCCTAAACATTTGAAAGATTTTCTCCTCTAATAGGAGAAAATTTGCAGTCTGCATTTCAGTTTTATTTGTTCCAAGAAAGGAGAACATTAGATGTACAGTGAGGCAGCAGAGAGAGTGGGGGAAATACATTTACACCTACCTGAAAGGCATTCTTACATTCATTTGCTCTGCATATCTTCCAAGGACTTCCCATGGGGCATGCAACTTCACAAAGATAATGTCACTATTTATTAGAGAGGACTGAAACAGAAAAAAGAAACTAAATTGAAAAGTATATCCAAGTCTCCCATGGTTTAAATCGAGTTGGAACTTAGAATGCACGAACTTGTATGGAGTTTACGATTTGGGGCATTCTTCAGCTATAAGCCAGGCCCTTAAGTATGCACATATTCTCAACAAATATCCCACTGTGTGTCAGGCCCTGGAGACCCAGTTGTGAACAAGAGAGGTATGAATGGCATTTACATTCTGCAAAATTATTATTATTATTTTTTTTGTCTTTTTCCGTGTCCAGCAACGGATCGCAACCCTCAGTGTTGCTCCCGCGCCTCGCTCAGCCAGTGAGCGGGAACCGGTCTGTATGTGGGATCCGAACCCTCGGGCGGGAGCGCCGCCGCGCTTCCCAAGCAGCGCACTATCCAGTGCGCCACCGGGCCGGCCTCTGCAAAATTATTTTAAAGAAATAAGATAGGCAAAAACAAGTTTAAAAGAGAGGGATAAACTTACATGATAATGAGTGTTCTACAGACAACAAAGTAATGGGAGAAAAAGTTATGGGGAGGGCGCACACATTACTTTGAACAAGGGGTCAAGGAAAGGCCTCTCTGTGGAGGTGACATGTGAGCTGAGCCCTAAAGGAGAAGCAGCCAGCCAGGTGAAGAGTATGGGTTGAATATTCCGGGTGCAAAGACCTGAAGTTGAGAAATTGCTTGGTGTGTTCAAGGGACAGAAGGATGAGTAGAGTGACCGAGGCATATTAAGTATGCAGAGAACGGCAGGAGAAGAGACTGAGAAAGTGCGCAGGAACCAGAGTATACAGCCTTTCACAGGCCACAAGACAGTGAACTGTATTCTAGAAACACTGGGAAGCGATTTTGATTTAAGTTGTCAAAGATCTCTGGAGCTACTGTACGAAGAGTAAACTTCTAGAGAGAGTTGTGGCAAACGCAGAGAGGAGAATGGCTCTCAGTCACCCAGGCAAAAGCAAAAGTTGCTACTGGTGGAGATGGAAGGATTTAAACCTTGGGGGATGCCAGGCAAAGCTTTATGCAAAAGCTGTGTTCTCTGGACCAAAACCTTTGCCTCCTTCAGGGCATTTATCAACACAGAACTTAGACAGGGAAGTAAACCTAGGACTTTACACCCTGATAACCACCCAACAGGTTTTGGTCTATGCCTCTCACTGAAGGAACATGAAGAACCAACTAGGAGAATTCCCTTCAGAAGTTGCCTCCAGGAAGAGGCCTGGGTCATGGGAGGCAGAAAGAAGGCGAGAAAACAGTGAGCTAAAACATTTTAAGGCACTAAAGTGGCCAATTGTTTATCCTTCTCTTTCTCATGCTGCATGTCACTTAAGTTTTCATAGCTTAAGAATGTGAAAAGATGTGTTAGGATTTTGTGACTAAACTCTCTTTATACTAGCATTTATAAACAATCTTTTCTTTTTTTTTTTTTTTTTGCACAGCTGACAAAAAAGAAGCTCAACTTTATGCTCTATCTGGAACAAATCTGCAGTCTAGGGAATTGTTTTTAAATTGCAGATGACGTACAATTGCAATTCATTTCTCATACTAATTCAGGGTCTTCTTGCTGGGCTTATACATACTGTACTTAATTTATATGAACTCATCAAGGTATTATGAAAATCAAACGGGTGTCAACTACAATGTTCTCAGGGACTCTGGTGTGATGCTGAATTTCCCATGCGTAGGAGGGCCAGGACCCATCTCCTAAATGGTAGGGGGCTATCAATCTGAAAAATTAAACTTTCTTGGCCGTTCAGGCTGAAATGAAGTTTTATCTTCCAGCTTGGGACAAGCAGTGTAACCCACCTGGGGATAAGGAATGTTTCTGTGGTTTATGGTTGAATCCTCCAGGCCATGAACAGTGCCTGGTACAGAGGGAGCACACAACCAATATTTCTCTAATCCACAAAAACAGTTAGTGAAATGTGAACAGTTAGAGCTGACCTGGGTGAATGCTGTGAGTCCTGTGAAGCAAGAAGTGACTGTCAATGAAGTGACTCTTGGAGCTAACACAACGGGTTACTGCAAATGAACACCTGCCCAGGGAATGGGCAAGCCAGGAGCAGATGAAGACGTGATGACCAGTGCGTTGTCTCAGTAAAATCTGGTTTTTTGTTTAGTAACTGACAGAGTTTGGATGTGTTGTCCCCCCAAAACTCATGCAGAAATCTGACCCCCAACTTGGCAATGTTGGGAGTGGTTTGGATTATGCGGGTGGATCTCTCATGAATAGATTAATGCCCTGGGGGTGGGGTAGCAAATGAGTTATCTAGCCACGAGGGTTGTTTGTTTATAAGACCCTAGCACCTCCCCCCCCCCTCTTCCTCTCTCTCCACGTGATCTGCTTGTACCTGCCGGCTGTCTGCTGTTTTCTGCCATGAGTAGAACCAACCTCAGGCCCACACCAGATGCAGCTGTCCCAGAATCGAGTCAAATAAACCTCTTTTCTTTATAAATTACCCGGTTTCAGGTATTCTATTATAGCATCAGAAATGGACTAATACCATAACTTATTACATTCCATCCTCCCCGCACAGGTGCTTAAAGCTAAGTAGTCAGGGTGACATGAATGAGCCCATGGGCTGCAACACCTGTACAGAACACACAGAAACATCACACATACACACAGCGTCAGTCCTGTCTCATTCATGCCTGCGGATGCACTGATGCCTCGGTGATCTGAGACAGTCTCAGCTTTTCAGCTGAGCATTTGTTGGGCTTTGGAAAAGATTACCACGTGCTCCTCAACATATAGTATAGTTTTCCTAGTTACAAAACGGAAGAAAGACTATATTTCCTAAAACTAGGTCTTTTTATTTATATTAAGATACACTTCAGAGTCTGGAAAGGTTTTGTGGCTTCCTCACTGAGAAATTTTATTAGGGAAATCTTTAAATGCACCTAGCTTTCTTACAATGTCCTATACTTGCCATTGTTTTTTCTTTTGTCTTCCCATGAGAGAGAGAGTGAAACCGTGCAACACAGGGAGACAGCGTATGGGAATGTGATTGATTCATGGAATCCAATGAACCTTGATTTAGAGCAGAATATGATGCTTATAGCATACTTGTGCCAATTTACCAACCACTAGTTTTACAGAAAATAAACAATCTTGTGGAATAATAAGCATTTCAGAAATATCCTATGAATCTATGAAATCATTAAAGAGACTACACTAAAATTTTCCATTTAAGGAACATTTTAAATACAACATTTCTGTGTGTGGAAAAGCCAGGTTCATTATCTGAACACATACTGAGCCAACTAAAATTCTAATGTGGGATCGCAACCATTTTCTGCATAAAAGCATAGCCATTTTGATTTGTTTATCCTGATAAAAATAACTTTATTTTTCTTATTATTCCCATAATAACAATAATAACACCATCACTTGACTGATTGATTGATCGATTGTACTTTGCAATTGTCAACGTACTTTTACAAGTTCCCTCATATTTTTCCCACACAAATCTTTTTTTTTTTTTTTTTTGTCTTTTTTTGTGTCCGGCAATGGATTGCAACCCTCAGTGTCGCGCCCGTACCGGACCGGGACCGGCAACGGGATCGCAACCCTCCGTGTCGCACCCGCACCTCGCTCAGCCAGTGAGCGGGAACCGGTCTGTATGTGGGATCCAAACCCTCGGCGGGAGCGCCACCGCGCTCCCAAGCGGCGCACTGTAGCAGTGCGCCACCGGGCCGGCCCTTCACACACAAATCTTGTGAGAGAGGTTTCCTCCGATTTCTTAGAGGAGAGAGGAACAGGTCAAGTGACTCGATCACATCCAAACTGAAGCACAGACTTTATCCCAGGCAAAGCTGATTCCATACTCGTATCTCTTGACTCCCTCATGAATTATATCTAATAACTTTTAAGGTTTACTTAAATCCATGGTTTTGTATATGTATTTAAGATGCATATTCTCTGAACTGTCCCTTTATCAGTTTATACAAACTAATCTTAAAAGAATTTCATTATTTTAAAAAACAAAGTGATAAAAACAGAGACTCCATGGTCTAAAGCAAAATTAGCTACTGATGAAATGAGATTTGACTTGGGGCTATTAAAAGTTACTTTGATTATCTTGAGAGAAACATTAACTGAATTCCCTCAAATGATGATGAATATCTATTCATGGTCTTGTGTGTCTGTGTGTGTGTGTGTCTGTCTGTCTGTGTGTGCGTGCATGTGTGTGTCCCTTTTACATACTTAAGAGAAAAAATTTAGTGTATGGGCTTATTATTCTCCTTTCTCAAGGAGAAACTAAGAAGGCATGACCTACTGTTTGTTATTAAATGCCTTCTGAACTTCACCGCTGAAAAATAAATGTGAAATAGATGATTGCTAATTATATGGTCCATATATCACTCTTTTCTCTACTGTTGAAAGATTATGCTGCTGTTTCCAAATAGGTCTTTCCTCATTATTAAGTATTCTTTTCCACATAAATCCAAGTGCGCAAGTGCCAAAGTGAAGAGAAATGAAAATTAATTTTTATGAAACATAGAGCTTTTTCACTAGTATAATTGCATTAAAAATCCCTTAGGTTAGAACTTTGAGGAAAAGAAAATGACCATTTAGAGAAGTTTAGGAAAATATCATTAGAAGAATGACTGGAGAAATTAACAAGTAGCATGGAACTATCTGAAATACAAATAGATAAGATTCACAGAAAACCTTCCTTCTTCCTTTTATGCAACAAGAATATATTGAACACCTTCTATGTGCTAGATGCTAGGAATGCAAAGATATGTGAATCACCGTCCTTGCCTTCATATGCAACAATTTAGCAAAGGAAGGTTAGATAAGGCAACAAGGCAAAAGAAGAAATAGCATGCCATTATCTAATGCAAGCAATCCATCTCTCAAAGAGAGATGTATGTACACGTGTCCACTTCTTTACCATTTACAAAGAAGATGGAATTGAGGGAAATCCGATGTGGGAATGAGGGTATAGAGGTAGATCATGAACTCGGTTTTGAAAATGTTAGGTTCAA